GTCTCAAATTTTTTTTTTTTTTTTTTTTTTTTTTTTTTTGATATACCGAAGAATGAACAAGAAGACCGAGGCATCCAAAAAATTTTTTTTTTTTTTTCTCCGATATACCAAAGCAAGAACAAGAAGACCGAGGCATCAAAATTTTTTTTTTTTTTTTTTTTTTTTTTTCGATAAATCCAACCGAGAACAAGAAGACCGAGGCATCCAAAATTTTTTTTTTTTTTTTTTCTTTCCCATATACCAGAGAAAGAACATGAAGACCGAGGCAACCAACAAAAAATAATTTTTTTTTTCTCTTTCCCGGAATTTTTTTTTTTTTTTTTTCGAAATAGCCGAGAAAGAATATGAAGACCGAGGCATCCAACAAAAAAATTTTTTTTTTTTTTTTTCCTAATCTACCCAAGCAAAACAAATAGAAGACCGAGGCATCCAAAAAATTTTTTTTTTTTTTTTTTTTTTTTCGAAAAATTTTTTTTCACAAAAACTTTTTTTTTTTTTTTTTCCCCAAAAAATTTTTTTTTTCGTTCCAAGCTAACCAAGACATCTACTATTCACTAGTAGAGCAATCGAGACTGCAAAGCAAGCAATGGCCTTACTTGCAGCTCTTGGTGCTGAGAACTCCCCCCCCCCTATAGTAGTCTTAAGTAAAACCACAGCTCTGACAGGAGTAGATATTGCATGCGAGCGAGGAGTCGTAATGGGCAAAATTGACTCGGGGGACCTCCAAATCGAATTCCGTTTCGAGCAAAACACTTCTTAGGCTTCAAGGAAGCTCCCATAAAATTTCCAAACCCAAACTCCAAACTTCATTTTTTAGCCTACAATGCCCACGTGCACGCCGGTGTGCACGCAGGGGTGCTTGAGCATGCGGGAGAGGAGCCATAATGGGCAACATTGACTCGGGGGACCTCCAAATCGAAATCCGTCTCGAGCAAAACACTTCTTAAGCTTCTAGGAAGCTCCCATAAAACTTCCAAACCCAAACTCCAAACTTTATTTTTTAGCATACAATGCCCACGTGCACGCCGGGGTGCTTGAGCGTGCGGGCGAGGAGCCATAATGGGCAACATTGACTCGGGGGACCTCCAAATCGAAATCCGTCTCGAGCAAAACACTTCTTAAGCTTCTAGGAAGCTCCCATAAAACTTCCAAACCCAAACTCCAAACTTTATTTTTTAGCATACAATGCCCACGTGCACGCAGGGGTGCTTGAGCATGCGGGAGAGGAGCCATAATGGGCAACATTGACTCGGGGGACCTCCAAATCGAAATCCGTCTCGAGCAAAACACTTCTTAAGCTTCTAGGAAGCTCCCATAAAACTTCCAAACCCAAACTCCAAACTTTATTTTTTAGCATACAATGCCCACGTGCACGCCGGGGTGCTTGAGCGTGCGGGCGAGGAGCCGTAATGGGCAAAATTAACACGGGGGACCTTCAAATCGAAATCCGTCTCGAGCAAAGCACTTCTTAGGCTTCTAGGAAGCTCCCATCAAATTTACAAACCCAAACTCCAAACTTCATTTTTTAGCACACAATGCCCACGTGCACGCGGGGGTGCTTAAGCGTGCGGGCGAGGAGTCATAATGGGCAAAATTAACTCGGGGGACCTCCAAATCGAAATCCGTCTCGAGCAAAGCACTTCTTAGGCTTCTAGGAAGCTCCCATAAAATTTCCAAACCCAAACTCCAAACTTCATTTTTTAGCATACAATGCCCCCGTGCACGCGGGGGTGCTTGAGCGTGCGGGGGAGGAGTCATAATGGGCAAAACTAACTCGGGGGACCTCCAAATCGAAATCCGTCTCGAGCAAAACACTTCTTAGGCTTCTAGGAAGCTCCCATAAAATTTCCGAACCCAAACTCCAAACTTCATTTTTTAGCATACGATGCCCACTGTGCACGCCGGGGTGCTTGAGCGTGCGGGCGAGGAGTCATAATGGGCAAAAACTAACTCGTGGGATCTCCAAATCAAAATCCGTCTCGAGCAAAGCATTTCTTAGGCTTCTAGGAAGCTCCCATAAAATTTCCGAACCCAAACTCCAAACTTCATTTTTTAGCATACGATGCCCACGTGCACGCCGGGGTGCACGAGCGTGCGGGCGAGGAGTCGTAATGGGCAAAATTAACTCGGGGGACCTCCAAATCGAAATCCGTCTCGAGCAAAGCATTTCTTAGGCTTCTAGGAAGTTCCCGTAAAATTTTCAAACCCAAACTCCAAACTTCATTTTTTAGCATACGATGCCCACGTGCGCGCCGGTGTGCACGTCGGGGTGCTTGAGCGTGCGCGCGAGGAGCCGTAATTGGCAAAATTAACACGGCGGAAATCTAAATCGAAATCCGTCTCGAGCAAAGCACTTCTTAGTCTTCTAGGAAGCTCCCATAAAATTTTCAAACCCAAACTCCAAACTTCATTTTTTAGCATACGATGCCCACGTGCACGCCGGTGTGCACGAGCATGCGGGCGAGGAGTCGTAATGGGCAAAATTAACTCGGGGGACCTC